ATCAGAAAGCAGACTATGCTAGTTTAGCTCCCAGTTGCATACAGATTATGCATTTGCCCAGTGAGGCTGCTGTTTGCAGGCTGCTAAATGCGTCATGGAGAATTTTTGCTAGAGTGGCATTATTGGGGCTTTTTGGCCTCCAGATGTGGGTGAGCCGTCTCAGCCTCTGATTAGCATAGTGCTTTGGGAAGCAGGAATGGTGCGAGTTCTCCTCTCACTTCACTCAGATGGTCCTTGTGACACAGATGTTGTTGCAGCATCGATATCTTATTGATGGCCTCAATTTTACTGTATGTGCCGAGTTTCCATTGTTAAGGCATCAGATTTGAGATAAAGAGAAGCTGGATTTTCTTTGCCTCCTAAAGAGGTTTGCCAATACCCTGACTATTCTGTAGTGTCTTTAAGGAAGTACAATCATTGCTGACTTATATATGTGGGCATGTATGAATTTCTATAAGCCCCCACGGCCCAAAGTTCTGGCCCAGGGTGTGGCCTCTACCACTGGGATAGTAGGATCCAGGTTCTTAACAAATGGTTAAAAATATAGGCTAGTGGTCAAAAAGCTGAGATTGAGGGTTGGGGGCTAGGAACACTCAGACCCAGGAAATCCCTAGTCCCAGGACCTGGATCAGAACCTCGGAGAGCTCCAGGTATATGGATGCTGGCAGCTGTAGGCAGGCAGGAGTTAGTCCAGTGCCAGGTCCACCCTCCTCTGTAGCAAAGAGCTTTTTTGTGTGGATGATAAGAGATTTCAAGAATTGGGTCCTCAGTACTCATGGGCTTATGGATAAAGCAGTACATTACATTCTTTACGCATGGAGTAAAGTGAAGATTCCCATTGGAGCCACGGTCGGGGTGATTTTGAGTCTCCCTGCTATAGCCATGACACTGCTTCTTCCTGGGAGAGCTCTGTCTAGAAGGCCCAGAGTTGGGTCCCATGGCCCACCCTGCCCCTTACTAGCTTTTTGGCCTTCGACTGGTCTTGCATCCTCTCTGAGTGGGTCTCACAACTCTTATATGCAAGAATATACCAGTCTGGAAAATCAGGGTTTTTTTCAATAATGCAATGACAGTGTTATTATGAGAAACAAGTGAAAAAATATCTGCTAAAGCACTTTAATTTATATAAGCTTTGCCATTGTAAGGTTGTATCATTGGCAATGTCGTCACCTATTTTTAGAGCCTACCAATAAGAGTCCATGACATCAGACATCTGTGAACATCAAGGTGTTATTCAAGAAATGCACACCCCAAATTGCATTTGCATGGTAATTGGTACCATGGGGTCAGTGTGTGTGTCAGATAGTTCGAGCCAGAAGTGAGTACACAGGGACTTGTGGCTTGCTGTGCGTGTTTTTAAATGAAAGAGCTTGTCCTGTGGTCTTTTGTAAGTAACTGGAGGATTTCAGTAGGGGAGTGAAGTCCAAGAGCGGACATTTGTTTTAGCAAAGTGTCCCTTGTGGCAGTGTGGAGGCTGATTTGGGTGGAGAGAGACTGGAGGCAGGGAGACATTATTATTATCCAGGCAGGACTCAGGGGAAGAGTGGTTAAGAGATGAGCTCTGAAGCCAGACAGGTTGGGATCCAATTCTGGCTCCTGCTTGTTTGACCTCAGGCAGGTTTCCTTAGCTCTCTGTGTCTTGTCTTGTGCATCTGTGAATAGGACTGTTGTGCAGGTTAAAAATTGCAATCAAGGCGAAGTTCTTAAAGCAGACTTTGGCACATGGTAAGCTCTCAAATGTTAGCTGGTATTCAAGTGTATTTTTTATTGTGGTAAAGTATATATAACATAAAATTTGCCATTTTAACCATTTAAAATGTACAGTTCAGTGGCATTAATTACATCCACAGTGTTGTGCAACCATTGCCACTATTTGTTTCCAAAACGTTTTCATCACCCCAAACAGAAACTCTGTAACCATTAAACATTAACTCCCATTCCCCACCCCCACACACACACCCTGGTAACCTTTCTGTCTCTATGAATTTGCCTTTTCTAGGTGCCTCATATAAGTGGAATCATACAACATTTGTCCTTTTGTGTCTGGCTTATTTCACTTAGTATAATGTTTTCTAGGCTCATTCATGTTGTAGCATGTATCAAAACTTTATTCCTTTTTAAGGCTGAGTAATATTCTATTGCATGTATATACAATCTTGTTTATCCATTCATCTGTTGATGGACACTTGGGTTGTTTCCACCTTTTGGCTATTGTGAATAATGCTGCAGTAAACGTTTGCATACAAGTATCTGTTTGAGCCCTGCTTTCAGTTCTTTGGGGGTATATACCTAGGAGTGGAATTGCTTGGTCATATGGTAGTTATATGTTTAACTTTTTGAGGAACCACCATACTGTTTTCCACAGCAGCTATGCCATTTTACATTCCCAACAGCAATGTACAAGGGTTCCAGTTTCTCCGCATCCTCATCAATACTTGTTTTCCTTTTTTTTTTTTTTAAATTCTATTCATCTTAGTGGGTATGAAGGGGTATCTCATTGTGGTTTTGACTTGCATTTCCCTAATGACTAATGATATCAAGTATCTTATGTGCTTATGGGCCATTTGTATATCTTCTTTAGAGAAACATCTGTTCAAGTTCTTTGCTTGGTATTCATGTTTTGAAGGCAGTATGGGAGGAATGGAGAGAAACAGAGAGATTGAGGAAGTAGATAGAGCCCAACTGGGTAACTGGTTAGAGATGGGGGTTAACATTGAGTTTTCCAGCCTGGGGAAGTGGGTAGATAATGGGCTGTCAAGCAAGATAGCTCCCCTTTCTTCCAGAGAAGGGGCAGGTTGGAGGGAAGATGTTGGGTTTGAGTGGGACTGCGTTGAGCCTGGTGTGCCTGGGTGTTGTGCAGATGGAGAGTCTGCAGGATGCACTGCCATACCCATGTGCCTGATTGGTTTATTTGGAAAAATGCAGGGCATATTTTAAGTTTTGTCTCCACCCTGCTTTAATCTAAGAAGCAACTTAAGAAATTTGGTCATTATTAGGCTTCTCTTTCTGGCAAATGTGAACAGTCATTGGGGGGGACAACAGAATCTGGGATTTATGAACCAACCTCTTTCCTGTACTCAGCCCTTAAGCACCTGCTTGATCATATCAGTCCTTCCAAGCTCATGGGGTGCTGCTCTGAAGCTTTGGGTGTGAGCATTCTTGACAATGGCTTCTGAGGCTTTCTCCAGTGACCCTCTCAGTCTCTCAGATATTTGCCTCTCCCTTACCCTTCCCCAACTTCGTGTCATTAGCAGTTAGTGCTAAGCAAATGCCTGCCATGTCGCCCACAACCCACTGAATTTCTCTGAATTACTTCTTGGCAAAATTGGATATTATATCACTGTATTACATTGTGTCCAGGTGGAAATTTGTGTGTGCATAGTCATATCCACACTGCAATGGAAAGTGAGGTTTGAGCAACTGTCCTACCCCTAAAGAAGCAACCATTGGGGAATGAGCCCCCGTGGTGTCTTGTTTTCTCTACTTCTAGAGCCGTAGCAGGCTGGCAGCCATCACTAAGAAAGCATCCTATCATGTGGCTCAGGCAGGCAATGTTTGCAGATTGTCCCCTGATGCCATCTGCCTGTGAGGCTGCAGAAACCCCCGGCAACTGCTGTTCTAGCAGGTGCTGGGGCTGCTGAGGTGGGAGTCCGTGTACACACACATGCATGCACACAGCTTTGTGCTGTGTTGGCCTGGGACGCCAGCTGAAACTCTCAACCAACCCAGCAAAGCACCAGCCACAGTTGCTGGTTTCCGGTGGGGCCCTGATGAGGGGGAGAGGGCGAGGCTGTTGTGAACAGAGCCAGCAATTGGGGAATTGGATATGGTAACTAACGCTTGGGTGTGTAGGAAGCTGCCAGGCAGTGGCTATGTTTTGACAAGCTTTTGTTCTTTTCTTTCCACCTCTGCCCAGGCCAAATTGTGGCCCCCTACCTAATTTCCCATCTTCATGTTCACTCCATAGAAGGAGCCCATCCCCATTTGTTGCCCTGGGCTCTTTCTAAAGAACACCTCTCTCATCCTTCCTGCCACTCACATGCTTTGGGTCTAGCCCTTAGCTTCCTCTTTTCCCCAAGTCAGCGTGATCATGGGTTCAGACAAGCCCAGAACCCCTCTGCTCCAGACCTGCAGTGTGAATTACTATCATTTCTGGCTATTAATGCTTTTGAAAATAATTATGCAAATTATTAAAGTAATTTGAAATAATTGTATCGGCCATCAGGTTTTAAAAATCCAGATCTTAATGGAGCTTTGATAAGAGACCACTTAGAGCAAACTTTGTCTATAAAGGGCCAGGTATTTTAAGCTTTGATTTTAAGCAGTGACTCAACTCTGCCTTAGTAGCATCAAAGCAGCCATAGAAAATACTGAAACGAATGAAGGTGGTTGTGTTGTAATGAAACTTTATGGAAACGGGTGGTGGGCTGTAGTTTGCTGACCTCTGGCCTAGAATGATAGTCTTTATTTCACTTTGTTATCCTTATATTTTTCTTTGTCAAGAGCTAAAAAAGGCAGAGGATCTTGACGACTGTAAATGAACTTAAATCATCATCTTTTGGGTTTCACATAATTGTGAGCACAATGGTGATTTGGAAATATGCTTCTCTAAACCCCTGTTGGGAAGAATAGAAATCAAAAGGCTTTTAAGGGGTGACTCTACTTGGCCAAAGCTTGTCATTGCTCAAAAAGGAGAACAGGCTGTCACTTAGAGCTGTACAGTGGCCTTTATGTATCATTCATTCTTTATAGTCACTTGGAATGGCCATAGTCACATAAGGTCACATCACCATATTGGGCATCATTCCATTTTATAGGACCAGGAGCATCTCTAGTAAATGTAAGGAAACAAGCTATAAAAATGGTGTTTTTAAAACATCACGTTATACTGAGTTGAGACCATTATAGTTCATTTCCAGAAAGCTGAAGCTTAAAATAGTCAAAGAGGCATTCTAAAATTTCAAACTACAATCTTGTTTTCCTTTTATCTATCCTCACAGGAAATAAAGAAAGAGATGAAGAAAGACCCTCTCTCCAGCAAAGCTCCAGAAAAGCCCATGCATGAAGTGTCCAGTGGAAATGCTTTGCTGTCTTCTGAAACAATTCTAAGAACCAATAAGAGAGGTATGGAAAAGAAGACAGAGCCCCCTCCCCCCACACAAAGCAAAACTGGAAATGTCTGGGTGAACTGTGTCAAATGTTGAATTGCTGAAAAATTGAATGGCATTTCCCTTTTGGTTTTTTGTATAAATTTTAGACACACACACACCCGGCAAGTAACAGTACAATAACTATAATAAAGGGAACTAATAAAGAAAATTTTTTTTGACAATAGGAAAGCAGACTAAATTTTTAAATGCTGATTTTTCTAGGACTTCAGCTTTTGCTTTTGTATCTATTTTTGTGGATGAAAGGTGACTTTAGAGAATGCTGTGGTGCAGGCTGAGCTGTGTGTGTCTGGCCATGCTCTCTTTTTAATTTAAGAGCAGGGTTTATTAGGGTCTTTCTCTCTCTACCACTGGGCTCCCGAACACAGACCTTGTCTCTCTCAGTTTAGGAGCCGAACGTGCGAAGATATAGCTCTCACATCCATCTAACCAAGAGACCTTTAACTGTCTTCTTAGCCTCTTTTGAGACCACAAGGCAGATTTTCAGGTGTCAGCTTGTTGGAGTTTGTTTTCTCCCCAGCCCCACTTTGTGACATTGTTGTTTGAAACGACATGAAAGAGAATATAAGATTGTAGAGAGGACTCTACTCGGTTTTATACCGTAGTCACACTAGATGTCCTTAGTTTTTGCTGACCCCGCTCTCCCTGTGGATCAACCAGGCTGACACCGAGCGTGCCCGCTGTAGGTGAGCATTTGGCTGCAGGCTTTTCATGGCCTTATTACTTCCTTAAAGAGAAATATAGGGTTGTTCAAAAGCCAGAGCAGGAAATGTATTAGCAAAGAGTTCCATTAAAAAGAAAAAAGAAGGCAAGTTTACATAACCATGGGGGAAGAACAGCTAATCTTTCATAAAATTTAGACAGCATAAGAATTTGTCCAATAAACAGTCCATTGATCATAGTGCTTCAGACATTAGCTTTGTGTCTCTCTTCCTTCCTGCTTCTTCCTCTACCCCCTCCAGCTGCCCTGGGTTACATTTCCTTTTTTGAATTATTCAGATTAAATATTGGCTGGAGGCCCATGCTGGTTAGCAGCTATAGGATTTTCTTTTCTTGTTTTTTTTTTTTAATCCCATCCTACAAATGCAGGGGACTTCCCATTTTAAGAATTAAGCATATTTTGCTGTAAAACTATAGTCGTCCCCAAAAGTGCCTCCTTCATTCTTGCAAGTAAGTTCCAGAACTCCTGAGGCCTGCCCTCACTGGATTTGGAGAGCCTAGAGTTCAGTGCGTCTTTCTACATTCCCAAGCTCCTCTGCTGGTCTGAGCCCCTCCTGTTCCTCCTGATGCTTCTTGGGTCGGTGGGCCCAGGAATTGCATACACGTTGACCAGCAGCAAGGCCTCTCCTGCCAGCCCTGTTTTTGTAAAGTAAACAAGAGAATTAAGGTAATTAATTAATTTAACAAGATAAGGAATTAATTAAGTTAAGGAATTAAGGTAATTATCCAAATGAGTTGGATAAAATTACCTGAGAACTTTACATCAACGAAGGAATCAAACTTTTCAGATAATTCTCTCTTTACAACTAAAAATCTGGCCTTTGAGGTCCCCTGTGGAATTTTTCATTAACCAGAAAATGGCATTAAAAGAGGTGGTTTATGGACTGACTTTCAGCCCTTAGCCTCCACCTTAGGCCTGCAGCCTGATTATGACCAATCTTTTACTCTTAGGTATTTTATATAATGAATCTGCCAGTGGCAGTGAGACCTTAGCACATAGAGGCATTCTGTAAATACGAAACACATAACAAACCATCTTCATTGTGTCCCAGGCTTCACACTGACCCCCAGGTCACCTGGGCCAAACATAAATTTCCAGTTGAAGGGAAGCATTATGTACCAGGGCGAGGGCCGTCTTTGGCCCTGCCCCCACCCGTCAAGACTAACAGTATCCTACTACTCCTTATAATAAACAGCGGGCCGGATTGATTGGCCTTGTCAGGCCAGATAAATAGTTCATTGTACTGAGCTCAAAAGCTACATTTTTTTCTCACCCCAAATCAATGAAAAACCACTTTTTTTTTCCGTAAAACAAGGATGAGAGGCTAAATCTGTGGGATGATTCTAGTTGCTTGTAAATACTTCCGTCCAACTAATTTTTCAAGTTTTATGAGTTTTCGTAAATGACCTAAGTCTCCTCCTTCCCCTGTTTCCATCAAACTTTGTCCCTAGAAATCTCTTGGAAGTTTTTGTCTGTTGCTGTTGTTATGGAGGGAAGTTGCTTTCAGAGTTTGGTAACAGCTTTCTTTGATTCACTAACATGGTATCTTTCTTACAGTATATAAGTCCACCTTATGATTTAGCTTGGACCCTGTGAGAATTTAATAGAATTAACACAAGTTCTTTATATTTATCGAAAATGAGATGACTATTTACTTTATATGGGCCTTATCATTTGATACGGGCTTAGCATTGGTTTAATAAAGAAAGATTGAAGACTATTTCTATTATGAGTCTGAAATTGAGCCACTTCATTGGATGTTGAACTTGAGATAGACTTAGCTGAAGAAGCTTGCCCAGTTGTGTCTAGAGGTTTTTATGTTTGAGGACGTGCCTCGCTTTGCAGCAATGTCGAATGGGTTGTAACACCTCATGGTGTGGGATGAGCTCGCCCTCCCCAGGCACCTGCATAAGGGCAAAAGATACCCTAGGCTTGAAGAAAGTTATTCATAGCCTTCAGAAAAGGCCAGGATTGTGGAAACATTAGTTTGGGGACCAATTAGTTTCAGTTTTCAGCTTTAACCTTTACAGATTTCTACAGAGTTGATGTAGGGAGGTACTGGAATGACTCCATGGACTTTTCATTTGAGAAAAACATGTGACTGAAATTGAGAGAGAGAGAGCAGGTCCTCCAGCTGGCTTGGCAGCCGTCAGCTATATGTTCCAGGCATTAGGACCGTAGGGACAGTTGTGCCTGCTCTCACCCCTGGCCACTTCTCTGGTTGTTACCCAAGTCACAGTGAAGGAGCTTCCTGTTTAAAACAAGCCTTTCCCAAGGAGTAAGAAGTCATTTTTCATTTAAACTTGCAGCATGGATGTTGTATATCCTGAAGTTACCCCAGACTCTGGTATGTTGACAAATTGCAGCCAGAAAATCTGAAAACTTTCCTTGGAGCCAAATGTCATTCTTATGAACCAGACAGAAAAAGATTGTCTGTTTCCTTCTGAGAATGATTTATTCTTTTGTTTCTTCTGTTGTTAAACCCATATAGGAGAATAACTGGAATGTTCCTCCTAAATTGGAACGTTGATATATGGAGGAATTTTTAAAAAAATGATTCAAACCTCGAGTTTAAAAGCAAAATTGAACAAAATGGTCATTTTAACAGTTAACAGCAAATACTCTAAATACATTCTTAAAAATGAGCAAGGAGGATTTTGTCCATTTGAATATGAACTCTTTTCTACTTGAATTAAAATAAAAAAAATCATTTGGTTTCATCCTTAGAAAAGTTTCTCCACCAGCTTTATCCATGTGATAGGTTAGCTATCCAGGCTGTAATCAATACCCTGTTGGCCTATGTAAGAACCAGCTTCTATTTCAGGGCTCTAGTTTCCCCGTTTTTGCATCGTTAGCAGACCTCAGGGGGCAGCTGCCTGTCTGCCTCTCTCTGAACCCCTCCTGCTGCCTGTAATTTTGGACCTTGTTGCTTCCTCACTTTTGGGTGGATACTAATGAACATTCAGTATCACATGTTGATGGCATGCCTACTATTGGCCTGCCCTTGTGCTTGGTGTTGGGGCAGATAGAAAGACTAGAAAAACACCAGCCAGTCCTGCCTGCAAGCAGTTCCAGTCTGTTGTATCACTTGGGAAATGTTAAGAAAGTGCTACACATTTCTTTTATCTTTTTTATGGCAAAGTGGGGCTATGTCTCTTATTTACTTCTGTCATTCTGAATGTGAAGCCACTCCACGGGTTTCTGGTTGGCTTTATATGTCCTTGTTTCTATTTCCAGTTTATCATGAATTCAGTGTTTGGTAAGTCTCTATTGTATTTTGCACATTTATTATTCTTTGCTATTATTATTGTTATTGTTATGCTTTCCTGATATAAAATGTATTTTATAATCATCTTTTTAAGTCGCTCTGCTACTTTGGCATCTGCCTTCTGAAAGATAAACTGCTTTTCCCATCTTTATTTAAGGTTTGTTATGCATTTGCATTCTACTGCCCCTTCCAGAGATTAATGCTGAAAGATCTGATGGTTTAAAAGATGTTATTTGTAACAGGTTTAGCACTGATGCTACAAGATGAGATTCAAGTTGAGATGGGGGAGGGTTGAGATGGGGGAGTTGGTATGTGGATATGACTTTGATCGTTGAATGTGACACTGTGGGCTCATTTCTCATGTGTTCAGTCCTTCAGACAGGTTTAATTCAAAAGTTTTCCTTAACAGAAGGACCAACAGCTGCTCTGCCTCTGGTGACACACTGTTGCTTTAAAAGTGCAGAAATTCTTCAGAATTCATTTTGTGTGTGGATGGGTGACACATACATGCCCCTCAACATAGTCTGGGCCTCGTGTTTGCCACACGGAAGGGCTCTCCATTTTGGTCTGCTGCCTGTAGCTCTCGGAAGAATTTTACCTAGTGTTTATCTCTCTTTTCCTCACAGTTTCAGCACTAGTCATTCCAATCCCTAAACAGATCTGGCCATAGTGACCTCCCTCCCTTGTCTCTACTGAAGGGGAAACATTTTTTCGAACTTGCATTTCTTTAGCATTTACTTGGCTACTCGGAACACTGTTTTTGAGGTGTCTGTTGGCCTGTTCATTAGAACATGAGTGAGTGTGTGCGTGTGTACACAAATGTGCATGTGCTGGCAGGGAACTCTCGTGTTGGCTTGGAGGCAGTGGCCTGGATCTTGATAGGCTGTGGGTTCTTTGTTTGAAATGAAACTGTAAACAAAGGATGGAAAAAGTGTGTCCTTAATAAAGAAAATGTCAACTGCTTTGA